TTTGTTCTCCTGTGCTTGGAGGAGGCTGCCCCTGAAGACCTGCCAGCTCTTCTGGGTTCTGCCGCCCACTGCTTCCAAATTATCCAAAGACCTGTAGTGGGTGGTGTTTTTCAGGACATTAGTTTTGGGTTTTTTTTTTTAATTCAAAAATTCATTTCAGTTGGGAAAAAAAAAATATGAGGAAGTTTCAGAGAAGCCAAAATATATTTGACTGCTTAATTCAAACAAAATATTCCCTAAAAAAAGAAAAGGTTGTTTTTCCTGTTTAATGGTGTGAATACATGATTTTTGTTTTGATATTCTCAGTTTTGCTGAGGGAACTGGAGCATATTTCATTTAGGATTGGCATAAAGTAGACATTTTTATTTGGCTGTTATCCTCTTTGGCCAGGTTTGTTTGCTTGATAATTTCAAAGTGATTTGAGTTCTGAAACTCTGAAAAACAGGCTTCTTTGTCTGTGGTAGAGTTTTGTCTTTCACTGCTTTCTGGAAATCTGGAAATGTGTTTTTGATCGGGAGAGGATCAGTCTAAATCATAAAACTAAATAACCCTTCAAACTTTAGGGAATTCAAATTGCCAACCAGACTTCGATCCTGAGTTTGGTAAATGTCAACACCGTTCCGTGGGCAGTGAAGCAGGGTGGAGGAAGAAGTGTTAAATAGGATGGGGAGCTGCCTTAATTACTTGAGATGGGGAGCTGCCTTAATTACTCAAATATTTTTTTTCCCCCCCCCCCAGGAGAAAATTCAGGAACACTTGGTGATTTCATATCTTGTGACAGTGCTTAGCCTTCTAATCTGGCGCTTTGGTCAGATGGAGAGAAGCAAAAAGACAGCTGTTGGTTAAACAGCATAGATGTTATTATGTGACTGCAAAAATGCCACAAAGTTGTCCCATTTGCACTCATAATTTATAAGTAATCTAGAAATATGCTTTGAGGCAGTGACTTCATCTAAAAAGAATTACCAGTTCAAAGTGTATTAGTGCACGGCTGCTGAATATGGCTTGGCATTAAGGGTTTCTTCATCAGCATTAATTGGATTGAATTACCTGCAGTGAAATATGAGCCCTTCGAGGAAAAACAGTTCTTGTCCTGCTGGCTTTACAAGCATAAAAGGGAGGGGGGCAAGAGGGAAAAAGACAACAAGAGGCAGAGCTCAGACAGTTTAGGGCAGAATAAGAGTGAGTTTGAACCCACTGTGGGTATGAAATCGTTGCCAGGGAGTGGTGAGAAGGGGCAGCCCTTGGGCTGGGAGGGGGTTTTGCTGTCAGACCCCTTGGGTGCAGAGCAAAGCCACAGGCAGAAAGCGAGGCTGGGGAGCAGCAGTGGGGTTGGGTGCTGAGGGGCCTGGAGACTGGCAGGAGCAGCGGGGCAGCTTACAGCTCACGGGCCACCTCCACATGCAGAGGAGAGCAGGGCAGGCAGGGCAGGGCACCCTGGGCTGGGGCAGAGAGGTGAGAGGAACGAAACTGCGCCAGGACAGTGCAGGCGCAGTGCTTCAGGGGGCAGAGGGTGCCCCCAGATTCAGAGGTACCCACTGCCCGGAATAAGGGACACTGATGAGACAGGGTGACTCTGTGGATCAGCATTTGCAGTTCTCCCTATGTGCAACCTACATGATGAAGTTTGTGTAGGTTATGTGGAACCAGTTAGAAACCTGATGTTTCTAACTTGGGTCTGCAGTATGTACAGACAATTTCTTCTACAGTATTTCTCATACATCCCCCTGAAATATCCTGGCTTTGTTTTAGTTTGGTTTGGGTTTTTTTCTATGTATAAACTCTTAGAGTCTGTATATGTTGCTCATCTTTACTACCGTGCTTCATCAATGAATAGAAACAAACCCCAAACAAGAGTGTTCTGGTGCCTGTTGATGACTATTGAGAAAGCTGAGGGCACAACTGTGTTACCAGTGTATGAAGATTGAAAAGATGAGAAGGCAATATCTTTTCTAATAAATTAACGTTACCATAGTAGCAGTTGTAAAAACGGTTGGGGTGACGCGAGTGATAGGTTTTCACTCAGGTTCTATATAACCTTTCAACAAACAATTTAGGTATTGCTAAACAAAGGTACTGGGCATGCACAGACCCAGCTTGCTTAGAACAACATACCTCTGTGGAGAGAGCTCCACTGCGACGCCTGCTCATCATTAGGTTTGCATCGACAAGGGGCAGGGCACACAGCGTGAACAACCCTGCTGGAGGGACGCTCGAGAGCCACTGTAAACAGGCCTTGTGTCTCCAGTCATTTTGGCTGAGCAGGAGCTGTGGATGAATGTCCGTGTGCTCCTGGGCATGCCCAGCTCCCACGCCTTCTGGCCACCCCTGGCAGCCATGTCCAATGTCATGTGGCTAACTATGCTTTTTA